GGCAAATAGTAGCAGCAACAAATATACAACGTCTGAGGAGATTTCACTTTGACTCGATGCGGAAATTATTGGCGAACAGAAAATATAATATTGAAAGTAATTAATTTGTTAAATATTCTGCACAGAGTAGTTAAATTTTATTAATAAAACAAAGTGTAGTTGAAATGGATATTGTTAAATGAAGTTGACTTCGAATGCCCCTACCAAAGCAATTTAAACTATTTTTTGAAATCGTAACAACTGTAAAGCCTTTAGTTCATTGCTAACTTAACAGGAAAAAACAAATCTGCTACTCAGTATTTGAGGGTTGGTTCGACGAACTTCACTGTTTTTTTGATGATACCTTAAATACGTCTTCTTCATTGTTTCGCTACTAGTTTTAACGGTTGTAGTTCGCAGCAAGCCAGGATGTGTATGTTCTATTATCCCCAACGGCTAACGAATTGGATGTGTATCTTCATTTTTATACCCTCCACCATAGTATGGAGGGTATATTAATTTTGTTTTTCCGTTTGTAACTCATCGAAATAATCATTTCCGATCCTATAAAGTATATATATTCTTGATCAGCGTAAAATTCGATGACGATCTAAGCATGTCCGTCTGTCCGTCCGTCTGTTGTAATCACTCTAGCGTCTAAACGAGTTGAGATAGATCGCCAAAATTTTGCATAGAGTCGTCTTTTGTCTGCAGGCAGGTCAAGTTCGAAGATGGGATATATCGGTCCACGTTTAGGCATAGGTCCCATATAAGGGTACCCCCTAATTTTCGGTATTTTGGGGTTCTTGAGCGCGTTTTACAACCGAATTTGCTGAAATTTGCTACATTTGGGTTCGTATTGGGTACTAAATGTCTCCACAAAAAAATATAAATATAGGTCCATATTTTGGGATAGCCCCCATATAAGGGTACCCCCAATTTTGCGGTTTTTGGGGAGTTTGATCGCATTTTTCGACCTAATTCGCTGAAATTCGGTACTTTGAGTTCTTATTGGGTAGCAAATCTCTATACTAAAAATTATAAATAAAGGTCAATTTTGTCGGGTAGCCCCCATATAAGGGTACCCCCCAATTTTCGGTATTTTAGGGTTCTTGAGCGCGGTTTCTAACCGAATTCGCTGAAATTTGGTACATTGGGTTCTTATTGGGTACCAAATGTCCCCACTAAAAATTATAAATATAGGTCCACTTTTTCTGGTAGCCCCCATATAAGGTTACCTCCCAATTTCTAGTTTTTGAGGGGTTTTGACCGGATTTTTTCACCGAATTGGCTGTAATTTAGTAATTTGAGTTCTTATTGGGTAGCAAATCTCTCCACAAAAAATTATAAATATAAATATAGGTCAATTTTTTCGGGTAGCCCCCATATTGTTTTCGATATTTTGAGATTCTTGAGCGCGTTTTTCAACCGAATTCGCTGAAATTTGGTATTTTGTAGTCGTATATGGTAACATATCTCCCCACCAAAAATTATAAATATTCACCCCTTTTTAGATGTGGTCCCCATTTAACACCCTTTTTTATATTAAAATTGGTATCTGATTTGTTCCGTGTGTTGCGGTTGGGTAGTTGTTACGGGGAATAGTCAATTTTTACCCTACAATGACTTTTTAGCCATCTGTTGTAAGCATTCCGCCTACTAAAGATTTTGTGATAAAAAAACTCAAATATGACGATAATGAAATATATCGGTAGACATTTAGGCATCTCCTCAATATAGTGATACCTAATGAAGGAAAGAATTGAGATAAACATTTAAAATATTGGGTTCAAAATTGTGATATCCCCAAGTATTCACTATTTCCTACACTATGTAATCAATATTGGTCCCCCCAATATTGGCAGACCCTTTGTAATCTAAATTACAGTAGTTTGAGGATGCGTTATCAGTATTAGACCACTTTTTGGAACTACAGATTTTAGGAAAAATCCCCATTAAAAATTGCTGAAGTTTGTATTTGTTGTACATAATGGTTTACATAAATCGGTTTGTAGAATTATCGGTATATGCCCACTTTTTGGTATGTTCCCTATATTTTCATTGCATGTATCTGTCAGCATAACTATGGTGGAGGGTATCCAAAGTTCGGCCCGACCGAACTTAACACTTATTCACTTGTTTAAAATTAACATTGGCTCCTTCTGTAATCTGTCCTGCCGATTTTTTTATTTGTATCTTTACTGAAAGGTAGCGAGTTAATCATTGGTCCAGCATCTGACCAATTTCATGGAATTCACTACAGCCTCCCAGTTTCATACGAAGTGAGAACTTTCCGGCGGATTAAAATCCCATTTAAGTGTATGCCTCGGATGGTGTAGGGGATGATAGATATCAAGCACCGGATCAAATTGGCTTTAACATGGCGAAGCTCGACCTCTTTCTGCTCAATTGTTGACACTGACCTCCCCACGGTGTCACCTGGGGTTGCGAATTTCATCGCCCGTTGATGAAAGAACTATAAAAAATTGGTGGAGAAGTCGGGTTAGTTGCCCACACTCGAAAACCCCTCCTACTATCAAAAGAAAACCAAACCCCTCAAACTGGTGGTCAGATGCTGATCAGGAGCATGCATCAGCTGATTAGTACAATGATTGGAACCTCAGCATTCTGTGTCCCGTGCAAAAAGACAAGACGATATGTATCAACTATTGAGGAATAAGTCTCCTTCCCATCGCATATAAAGTGCTATCCAGCGTGCTGTGTGAAAGACTGAAGACAATGGTCAAATACATTATTGGACCATTCTAATGCGGCTTCAGACCTGGCAAATACATCATTGACCAGATTTTCACTCTGCGCCAAATCCTGGAAAATACACACGAAAAACACATCGACACATTCCACCTATTCGTCGACTACAAAAGCCGCATTCGACAGCCCTATCCGTTCAGTGGTGTTTGAAGCCATATCTGCGTTTGACATTCCTGCAAAATTAATACGGTTAAGCAGGATAATTTAAACTGACACAAGATCAGCAGTTGAAATCGGAAAGGACTCTCGGATCCCTTTAATACCGAACGAGAATTCAGACAAGGTGGTAGTTTGTCGTGTTACCTTCTCTGGAAAAGGTCAAAAGAGAGGCAAAGGTGAACACAAATGACACTCTGTACACCAAACAACACATGTCACATTGAGAGAGGCACCTTTGAACAAATTAAGAAGAAGTCTGCCAAAGTGAGTCTGGCAATAAACGGCGAGAAGCCAAGCTAATGGTATCAACGCGCAAGACTTCCAGTAGACTCGGTTCAACTGTAGTACTTGAGAACTACAGCTTCGAGTTAGTTAAAGATTTTATATACCTTGGTACCGCCATTAATAAAACTAATGTCACCAGTTTTGAAATTCGGAGAAGGGTTGTGATGGCCAACAGATGCTACTATGGTCTAAGTAAGCTCTTTAGAAACAAGGCCTCCTCCCGCCAGACCAAACTCACACTCTACAAGACGCTGATACTGTTATTTGGATCTGAAGCATGGGTACTTACGCAAGCAGATGAGGCAGTGTTTGAGTGAAAATTTCTCCGAAAGATCTATGGACCGATCTGCGTTAATGGTGAATATCGCCGTCGAATGAACCATGAGTTGTATCTTCTATTCTCGGATATCGGCATTTTCAGACGTGTCGTTGGCTAGCTCATGTTGTGAGAATGGATGAAGATGCCTTAGCTCAAAAGCCTTATAAATAGGAAGGCCACGAATAAGATGGAAATATCAAGTGGAAGACAACATTGCCAAACATGGTCTTTCAAATGGTAAAAAATGGGCAAAAGATCGACGCACCTGGAAATCTTGTTTAAGCTCATCTTATGGAACAAAAGTTCTGTCACAAGCCAGCTAAGTAAGTAACTCTTTCCCTCTCTAATATTTCTCAAATTTCAGAAAATGTTCGTACAGTATTCGCAAAATCTGCATTCAACATCCAGGCGTCACCTACGAAGTTTGTACCATTGTTGGTGTACATGCCACTACTTTTACCCCTTCCGAAAAGAACTGCTGGAAACCATTCCGTATCCAACCAACTAAGCGCTTCCAGATGGACTGCCATTGTCGCCATACATCTGAAGACTTCAACATAGGCTTTAAATAATTTCCGACCTCTACCTCTTTACAATATTAGCAGTAATGGTCCAGTATAATGGGTACCGCAGTGTTGAAATGTTACGGATACACTGACTCGATACTACGGCAGCACACTTAGCCCATACTTCTCATGTATGGGTCACTAATAGGTATGTACTGGATATAATGGTATATTAGGAATGTTAAGTCGACAACCCTCGTACGATCGCTCCATAATACGTTATATCTTCCTTCGGGTCGCATCCAGCCAAATATTGCACGCAGTGTAGGGCATACGAACTGCTTAAGAAATTCAGTAATTCACCATAAAAGAATATTTATTGAATCATATAATATGAGTTATTATTATAACAGCATTTCATTTTCAATATATGTTTATGAAGGACATCAGAGCGTATTATACATGTCGGCAATTATACGCCATGTGGTTGCAAGGTATTTAATTAAAAGTATAAAATAGTTTTCTTTAAAAATGTATAAATTAAAAAATAAATCATTTATATAAAATATCCAAAGTCAAGTCTTTTTGAAATTTTATATGCTCTTTCTCAATAAAATAAACATTTTTTTAACTAGCAGACATTTTAAGTCATGTCGCAAAATAGCTGACCCAATTTTTTTCACTTGGAAATATCTTCTCAAATTTTGATTATAAACTTCCTGCAATTTTAATACAGCCCAATACTTTTTATATGACTTTTATATTAAATTTACATTCATGTATAATTAAAACGCCACCCCCAAATTGATTTCATATAAAACATACAAGAAAAAAGAAAATTTACACAAATTATGAAATAATACACAAAATGAAATAACTCTGAATACAGAAACAAAAGCATAATTCGATACAAAGCAATGAAAGCAATATTGAAATAATTGTAATTTATCCTCTTTTTGTATGCAATTCGTCTTACTTACCACTTTTTCTGTTTTATAAATCAGCAAAAAACGATCATAATGTGCCCTCGCACTATCCTCCACTCGCATTTGACCCAAATCTTCCAATTCCAAGGGTTCTTTGTAACCAAACCACAGCAAGGGAGTTAGCCACCAAAAGCAGGCCTTTGAATAAAATGTGGCCAGCGTATGTTTGTAACCGATTTTATCATAATCCTCTAAGTAATCTGGGCGGTAACGCTGTAAAGGAAGAGAGAGAGGAAAATTAATATACTATCAAATTAAAATAAAAATTTTGAAATATTATATGACAAACTAATATAAATTCAATAACTAATTCGGCATAAAATTGAACCGAAATCCTATAGCATATAAGTGTCGTCAGTATTCATACGCTCAATGGTACAGTTTTAACTATTCTGAGTTGTAGAGCAGTTGTAGCATTTACAAAAAGAAAAGTTTGAGGATATTTTCATAGACTGAAGATAATTTACAGGCAAATCCGAGACAGAATTTTTTTCTCAAATCTGTAATAATGAGCGTATAAATACTGTTTATGAAAAGTGCACTGTTTAGATGTTAAATCGCTTCTGATTTTATTGCGAATATAAATCTATTCTATGCACTTATCACTAGGTGCTCCCTTGCTAAGTGCATTATCAGTTGGGCATTGTCTTAATTATTGCTGCACCCCAGCAGCTCATAAAGCATTATCACTTATGCGGCAATTATCTATGGCAATATATTTATATTAGGCAATTAAAAATTTATAATCTATACACTTTTTAAATTATGTTTATATTTTTATGAACATTCTCCCGGCCGGTAAAATAAGTTCATATTTTTATGAACAAATACTGAAAATGCGTATACTCTATAAGATATATAGGTACAATTTTAAAACGCTATTTATATAAACACCTCACTTTTTCATAATCTAAAGCTATGAATTTATTTTCCCAGATTTTCCTAATTACATATATTTATACTCTTCACTACACTGTGGTACAGGGTATTATGTCTTTGTGCATATGTTTGTAACATGCAAAAGGAAACGAGATAGACACATGGTTCATTTTGAGAATATGCATAGAATCACTTTTTAAGTCGATTTATGCATGTCCGTCCGTCTGTCCATGTTAAATTGTATCCGAATATCCGAATTGGATGAAATTTGGCATACGTCCCTTATTCGGCCCAAGGACGAACCCTATTGAAATTGGGAAAAATCGGTTCAGATTTAGATATAGCTCCCATATATATTTTCGTCCGATTTAAGGTAAATGGTGCACCAATGTCATAAGTATCTTTCGATTTGCACGAAATTTGGCACAGTGTACTGAATTAAGCCTAAAATGATGTGTGCTAAGTTTCGTGAAAATCGGGTCAGATTTAGATATAACTCCCATATATATTTTGGTTCGAGTTAAGGTAAATGGTGCACCAAAGTCCCTAAATATCTTTCGATTTGCACGAAATTTGGTATAGCGTACTGAAAATAGTCTAGAATGATGTGTGTTCAGTTTCGTGAAAATCGGTTCCGATTTAGATATAGCTCACATATATATGTTCGTCCGATTTAAGGAATATGGTGTACCAAAGTCCCTAAATACCTTCCGATTTGCACGAAATTTGGCATATAGAACTGAATAAAGTCTAGAATGATGTATGTTAAGTTTCGTGAAAATCGGTTCCGATTTAGCTATAGCTCCCATATATATTTTTGTCCTATTTTAGATAAATGGTGCACCAGAGTCCCTTATATATCTTTCGATTTGCACGAAATTTGGCACAGCATAATGAATTGGGTCTAGAATGATGTGTGTTAAGTTTCCTGAAAATATATATAAATTCCATAACCATATTTCATTTTACTGATCCTTCAAAAATGCGACGCACTATGTCGCGAGTTCATATACACAGCGGCCAAAAATAGAAGGAGTTATCGTAAGTTAATGAAATTTGGTACATGTGCTTGTTATTGGCCTAAAGAGCAACTGACAAAAAATTTGATTGATCGGACCAAGATTTCCCATACCCATACCTCCCATACAATGGGTCTTGAGAATGTAACCTTTTTTGGCCTATAAAATCTTTAATATTCAAACAAATTCAATGAAAATTGGCAATTTACATTTAATTAGGCCTCTAAATCAACTGACCAAAAACTGTGTAGATCGGACCAAGATTTGATATACCTCCCATACAAAGGGTCTTGAAAATTTTACTATTTTGGGCTATATAATCTTTAATATTCAACCAAATTCAGTGAAAATTGGCAATTTACATTTACTTATGCCTATAAAGCAACGGACCAAAAACTGGGTAGATTGGCCCAAGATTTGATATACCTCCCATACGAAGGGTCTTGAAAAATACGCTTTTTGGACCTATACATTTTTTATATTCATCCAAATTGCAAGAACATTTTCATGTCTTCTTCCAAATTACATCAAATTTGGGCGAAGAAAGTAATAGGTGCTGTAATTTAGTTGTTGGCCCATATTTCAGGTACCTACCATACCAAAAATCCCTAAAAATGTAACTTTCTGTACTATAAAATCGTTATATGCAGCTAAATTAAGTATAGTAGTTTTATTTTTTTTATTTTTATATAATAAAATATTTGATATACTTTAGTTACTAATAAATTTCTTTTTTATCATTCACAAAATTTTCAAAACACACGTCAGAGATATATATAAAATATTGTCTTCCCAAATGTACGATTTAGTATTATCCACGTTATAATCTCGGGCCTTTACTTTATGGCTGTTTAAGGATATTACAAGTCGGGTTGTAATATAAAATTCTAAATATCCTTATTTAACTCGGTTTAACAAACGTTCGGGCTGCTACTAATCATTTGTTGGCATGACTTGTTAGCATCTTGTGAAAGTCGCTCAAAAGGTATTGTACTGCACTTTGCATATCCCATGCCATGAACTAATATTTTTCTGTATGAACTTTCCACAAATGTAATTCATGTGCGACATCTAAATTTAGATTATAAGATTATGTCTCAAATGATCTGATAAATAAGTATAATCTTCAAACTGACTGAAAATTTATTTAAAAGCTATATTTTAAAAACAATTCTCCCATATCTTCGCTTCGAATAACGTTTTTACCACTTAATTGCAAATTTTATGTAAAATATTGTATTATTTCTATGTTCTGAATACATATTCTCCTTCCTATTTGACCCTCAATAATTTATTTAATTGTATACATAACATATTTGACCATTCGCTTCTAACCATCTCATGAATATGCCATATTTTTTAATAAGGTTGTCACCAAAAAAGTTAAATAACTCTTAGGACCGCAGGACTCCGCAGCTAATTTTTTTATTCCTTAAATAACACACTTTTCACCACTCAAATAAAAAAAATTAGAGCTAACCTTTTTTAAACTTTTTTTTCTGCTCCACTAATTTCAAAATTTGTTTTAAAATTTTGATGAACTAAGTACTACAAGTGTGGACGACTGTATACACCATATGATATCTATATACATACAAACTTAAGCGAATCCTAGTTTTTACATCCACAGCAACCAAAATAAACACTTTTATAATAACCGTTAATTTGAATATTCAAATATTTGAGCATCAGAAAAACACATCCATTTTTCGAAAATATGGTAAAAAATCAGTTTATAAATAATTATCAGATTTGAACCTTTGTAGAGACAAAACTACTTAACATATCGATATAAAATTTCATATTTATTCTAATTGGAGTGTTTTCTATCAATCCTCATCAAAAAATTTGTCCTCCGTGGTACTTGGTTTTGACCATTTTTGGCCGCGGTAGTGACACTGTGCGACGTATGTTAAGATTCATCTGTTGAATATACCCAAAGTGGTGAAGGGTATCATAAAGTCGGCCCCTTTCGACTTTACTATTTTCCTTACTGCTTTAATTAATATGTTTATTTGAATACTTCTTCCAATATTTAAAGCAGTACCATGGATCGTATGAATAGCGATAATACTTATACGCCATAATGGCCAACCAAGGGCTTTTTATAATATCAATCATTTAAATCTTCTAATTGATTTTATTGTTGTCGATTGATCTAGGCATGGATTTATTTTCCCAGATTTTCAGAATTCTATATGTGTTAATTAATATATTTATGTGTAAAATAATTTCACTCTTGAAGTAATTTTTTTATCGTAACTAAAAAAGTATTGCAAATTCTGCCTTCAGCATATTATTGTCAGTCTATACACTCTAGGATACCACCAGCAATGATTCTGGTTTAGTTTATTTTATTTGTCCATACATACATTTTTTCAAACTACATAAATGCCAATGCCCCAAATTTTATTAAGTCAGAGGCACAGGGCGAAGAGTGTTGATATGTAATTTTGATGTTCATAAAAACATACATAGTTTTATTCTCTCGCACTAGACCTCCTGTTATCCTGTAGCATGAAACTTCAAAAAATAAAGTGCTAAAAATTTATTTACCCAAGAGCAATCTCTTGTTGTGGAGTTTTTTGTTATTGTTTGCCACACACACACACCCATCAAAAACAGGACAATTTTCGTAAACGAATCATAAATAGTTTTTGTATCACAGTGTATATTATATATTTTACATGTTAAATGCCTTATGCTATGTGTGAAACTGGGATTTTTGTTCTGTTGCGTACTTTTCGTTTTTTAAGAGTCAGAGTTTAATGGGTTAAACGTATTTTGATTTACTGTATTTTGAGATGAATTGATGGGAAGTCTTATAGAAGAGTAGATACAGGTATATTAGAGGTTCACCATCGTTTGAAAATATTCCCCATCTTTATAGGAGGCACACTTTATGTACGGCATATTTATAGATGTAGTCTCTACAATCAAGCTGAAGGCTGTAGGCTGAAGTAATTCTTTATAGACGAGCTAAATGACGTCTTTACATATGAGATGAATGCAACCTCTATTAACTAGCTAATTGCATTCCTATAGACAAGCTGAAGGGTGTATCTTTTAACAAGCGGAACG